TAAGATACAAAACAGATGAACATAAGGGAAAGGAAGCAAAAATATAAAAATAGGGAGGGGGATAAAACATAAGAGACTCATAAATATGGAGAACAAACAGAGGGTTACTGGAGGGCTTGTGGGAAGGGGGATGGGCTAAAATGGGCATTAAGGAATCTACTCCTGAAATCACTGTTATACTATATGCTAACTAACTTGGATGTAAATTAAACAAAAAGAAAAGTCTATTGCTTTCTGAGTTTTGACAGCGCCCAGGAGTGCCCTTCTGACCCACAGAAGTGGTCTATTGGAGAGAAGTGTTAGTATAGTTATTTCTCCCTGAATGTCTGCTACAGAAAGAATGCTAAATGCATCCATTTCTATGTGAAGCCTCCCTAACACTCTGGCTTCAGCCTTTTTCTGTTGGACATTCTCTCAGTGCTTTAGATGATGACATAGCTAACCCATGGCCTGACATTGGAGGCCATAAAGCTGAGAAGGAAAATTATTTGAACCAAGTGGATGTGGGATGTAGCAAACCTTGGGGCCTAGAACAAACTGTAGTTCTAGGGAGAAAATAGGAAGCTCCTAGGATTTTGGGCCTAACCACTACACAGGATGTGGGAAACAGAGGCTGATGGCACATAGAAGAGGTGCAGAGGTTTTAGTTGATAGCAAACTCAACCTGGCTCACTAGGGCTTCTCATAGTGCTCATGCAGTCTGTAGCTGCATCAGCCATGGACAGTGTCACTGACAAGATCAAGGTTGATGTTATTTTGCTCTCCTCTGTAAGGACCCAGTCATACCTACAGGCCGATGTTCTCTTTTTAAGGGTATATGGAGAAATTAAAGCATATCTGGAGGAAACTGATCTGAATGTGGAAGGAGGAGAAAACCATGCCTTGTAGGAAGCTACTGAAGGAGCTTGGGATATTCACCTTGTGTTAACTTATTTACTCATTAGTTCCACGAATGTTTCAGTCCTCTTATGTTCAAGGTAGATTCTAAGGGACAGGGCATAATGACTGCAGCATGATGTGGGTTCTAGCAATGGTGTCTAGAATGGTGCAAAGTTGTCCAACTGCTTGAAGAGGTCTGGGAAAATTGGGGCACCTGGGTGGCTTAGTTGGTTAAGCATCTGACTCTTGATTTCAGCTCAGGTCATGATCTCATGGTTGTGAGATTGATCCCTGCATCAGGCTCTGCACTGGGCATTAAGCCTGCTTAAGATTCTCCCTCCCTCTCTGTCTGCCCCTCCTCCACTCGTGCACGTGAATGCACATTCTCTCTCTCAAAGGGAAAAAAATAAAAGGTCTGGGAAGGTCTTCCTATAAGGATGAGTTTTGAGTTGTTTTTTAATTTTTTAATTTTTATAATTTCTGATGGAGACTGAATGTGAATGGGGGAGGGGCAGAGAGAGAGGGAAACAGAATCCGAAGCAGGCTCAGAGGAAGAAACACAGAGGAAGAAACAGAGGGCTTAACATGGTTTAAAGGCAACCCGAGAGAGAGAAAGAGGTGCTGGAAAGAAGCGTGTGTGCGCGCGCGCACGTGCGCACAAGAGAGATATGTTGGAAAGGAGTCTGAGAGAGAAAGAGAACAGTGAGAAGATGAGGAAAGTGGGTGCCCTGGAAATAAGGAGCAAGGAAATCATAAAGAAGGAAGCTGTCAAGAGGATCAGAGCTGCAGAAATCAATGGACATGAAAACACATATCTTTGTATTTGACAGTGGTTTTTTTTTTTTTGTTTTGTTTTTTTTGTATTTTGTATTTGTCATTGGTTGCAGAAGCTGTTTCGATGCCAAAAGGAGGCAGAGGATCAGACTGTAGGGGTAAAATGGATGTTTGAAGGTATAGAGGGGAGGCGATAACTGTTTTTAAATAGTTGACTAACTTTCTTTGGCTGCCAATTTGGATAATCTTTTGGGTACAGATGATAGGACACCCTACTCAAACTGGCCAAAGCAAAAGGAATTTACAGGCTCAGATAACTGAAAAGTCCAGAAGAATCAAGCCTTGCTTGATCTAAGGATGTAAATGACAATAAGACCTGGTCTCTTTCTGTCTGTCGGCTTTCTCTTTGTAACTGGCTTCCCTCTTTAGCCCAATGTGGTGACAGGAAGGGTGCCGGACACTCCCAAGTTTATGTCCTTCTAGATTAAAGCTCAGCAGAAGTGAGATCTTGTCTCTTCCTTATAGATCCAGGATTCCTGATTGGATCCAGTTAGATTTTGTGCCCACACCTGAGCCAGTTACTGTGGGTAGGGAATAGTGATTACTCAGATGATTGGTTATAGGGTACGTGTCAGCTCCAGGCCAGCCATCGTGGCTGGAAGAATTCAGTGCCTTGACTGGCGAGGCCTGGGTCACATGTCCAATCTGGAACTAGGAGTAGAATCCCAGCTGTACCATCTGGACCACCATAAGGGAGGGATAGTTCTCAAATCAAGCGGAAGTGCTGTTCCTGGAGGCTGGAATGGATGTTCTGCCTGGAGAGAAAATAGCCACCATAGCTGTAGAGGAAAGACTAGTATCAATGCATGGAAACTAATGGTGGAAACACTTCTGCTTTTGGAGAAAGATACATTTTTACACCAAAACCCAGTATACTCTTAAACATGTGTATGAAACCGCAAACAGCAGTTTCACAGCATAGCACTTTTCCTTACTGTGTGACATGCGCGTATCTTCTGTTGCAGAATCCCTGTTGTGTGCAACCCACGCCATTGTTTTCCTGTCAGACTGATGGTGGACCAGTAGTTTGTAAAGCCCTCTTCTAAGGTCAGGGGTCTTAGCTGGGCTAGGCTTGACGCTGGTGTTTGAGGCTGGCTTTTCCATGGTGACGGTGGCAGTGGTCAAAAGTAAAACGAGGAAGCAAACCCGGTTTATTTGTGAGGGCTCCTGATTCCGTGTGGTGGCACCTCCGGCTGTCAGAGCAGCTCTGGGCCCGTGGGGGTGGAGTGGCCTTCTTTGTGGGCCCGCAGGGCAGTGTTGCAGGGAGTTTACGGGCTGGCCGTGGACCGCAGGATCTCGGAGGCGGCCCCGGCAGTCTGTCTGTCTGTCTGGAGGCTGGCAGCAGCTCCTTCTATGCCAGCAGCAGTTTATATTGTGAGTTGAATGTGTGTGCATGCCTGTGCTTTCTGCCAGGCCTTTATATTGAAGATGAGGGAGTGGCTTGTAAAAATAACATATTTTTGACTTGAAACAAGTCAAGGCAGAGAGTGGAGACAATTAGAGACTGACATCCTGTTTAGTCATCTCTCCAGAGAGCTCTATTTTCAGAACTGTTCCATAAAGGTTCACAAGTGGTATTAAGATAGTTAAGGGGTTATTGTTAACTAAGCGGTAGTCATGAGGTAAGTAGCCGGTTTGAACACTGGGGTGATGTGTGGTAACACCGTGACAGCAGATTTTGTGCAGAAGAATGGGGGGTTTATAAGAATAGGCTGTTGTACAGGTGACACTTTCTGAGTCAGAGCAAAACAGGCATCTTTTATTTTGAAAAAGTATGGAATTGGAGCGTGGTATTAAAAAAATATGTAAGGTCAATGCATTTTTTCCACCAGTCTTTGTCACCAATGGGTACAGTAAAAACAGTAAATAGCACTGTCAAGGCTCTTTGAGCTCATCTGGTGGAAGCCATGCCAGAAATGCTGAATAGTGATGTCACTGACTTTTGAATGAGAACAGCGAAGCTTGGGGTGGTTAAAGACCTTGCCCAGAGACCTGAACCAGCTGGGGCAGTCAGGCTGGAGGCCATGTCCTTGCCTAGTTTGGACACGATACCATACGATTTGCAGCTTCTTTAAATGTAATATTCTACCAAAAATGGCCAGCTGTATCTGTACTCAGCTTCTTTGGACCTCTCTCTCTCAGATGAAAAGTGAAAGGCAGAAATGGAGCCATGGCTGAATCTGACAAAATTTTGACAGCTGTAAATTCACATATTGGGGGCCAGAAGAACCTCACAGTCCAAGGCCCAGAGGTGTTCTTGGGGAGTTCAAGGTTAGCACGCAGCACGGAGAGGGCAGAGCCTGTCTACCTGGACTGAGTGTGATCAGAGCAGATCTAGAGGGCGCTGCCCAAATCCAGAGGCATGCTGCATGAGGGTCTTTGGGAACCCGAGTGTGTGTGGAGGATGAGACCTAGCTGGGAGACTGCAAGCTGCCTCGTTTGCAGAGCAGATGTCTTGATATCTCAGAGCATAGATTAAGAGCTTTAAAGGATGTTGACGCTCCGGGAATGAGCAAGAGCAGTGCATGCAAAGCTCCTGAATTGCCTTCCCTGGTGCTTCCTGAAGATGAACTACACTTAGAGAAAATGGTAGAGATGGAGACAGTATTCTCCTACTTTTTACTTCCTAAAAGGAAAGGTTGCAACTGACTATGCCACATTTGTTCATTACCTTGTATGTTGCCATTGTTTCTCTATTTCATACACCCGCCATGTGGGTTAATAAAATGTTGCCCTGACGTCAGCTAGGAATGTCTCAGAAACAGTGACCAAGTTTTTGCGTACTTCTCAATAATATCACAAGGAGCCAAAATGGAAGAGAATAAAATTCAAGACCAGGAAAACTTATTGAAAGAACTGTTTCTCTTAGATTTGCTTTTTTATCTTTGTAGTTTCTTGTGCACTTGTTTCTTATTCCCCTACTGTTGAATGAAAGACTGCTGAGGTCTGATTTATGGCTGTGATTTGCACAATATAGACCTCTTTGTAAAGAATTATTTGAGGCCCTCAAAAAATACTTTACAATTAGAATATGACACACAATTCTTTTCTCTTTCTAGGTGGATCTGGAGCCAGAAGGGAAAGTATTTGTGGTAATAACCCTAACAGGGAGCTTCACTGAAGGTAAGGATAAGTTTTGGCTGTTCCTGGTATAAGTTAGTTCATACTCAGTAAGAATTTCTAACATGGAAATTATAAAAAGAGCATTTTGTAGAAGATGCTTTAGAAAATTGTTTTATGTTGGGCGGGCTGGTGTTTTGTTTCTAAGGATCTATTGCTTTGGGTTGCCAGATTCAATACATTTGCTAAATCTGACAATCTCGTGATTTAACATATGCACTGAGTTTTATTTTCTTCATCATCATTTTAGCCGAATTGGTTCTTGCCTCTTTTCGTTCATGCCTATCAAATTGTGCTTCAGATTTTTGCCTTGGGGCCAACCTTTTAGTTTGCCCCTGAATGTGTTAAAAATTTAAGGATCATGTTCCCTTTCTTATAATCTTTGTCTCATTCTCCTTTAAAGGATTCTATTCCTCTTCCACTTCCCATCCCTAATTTTTTAAAAAATAAATGAGGTAAAATTTACGTATAGTGAAATGCACAGATCATAAGTGAAGAATTTGAGCTTTGGCAAATGCACACAACCATGTAAACAACACCCCAATCCAAAATAAAGAACATTTCCACCGCTCTGAAAGTTCCCTTTCTGCCCTTTCCCAGTCAGCCTCCCGGGGCAATAAATGGGATGTTTTGTTTTGTTTTCTCACCGTAGTTTTTTCTATTCTCGAAGCTTATGTAAATGGAACTACATAGTATGTTCTCTTTTGTGTCTGATTTCTTGCGCAGAGCATAATTTCTTTGAGATCCACTCAGGTCATTGTGTGCGTCAGCATCCTATTCCTTTCTATTGCTGAGTATTCCATTATATAAACGTAGTAGAACGTGTTTACCCATTCTCTTCTTGATGGACATTTGGAGTCTTCCCTATTTTTGGTTATTAGGAATAATGCTGTTATGCCCATTCTTATACATACATTTTTGTTGATGTACACTTTCATTTCTTTTGGGTAGATATGTAGTGATGGAATTGCTGGATAATAAAGGAGATACATGTTCGACTTTATAAGAAACTCTTAAATGTATGGGGTGCCTGAGTGTCTCAGTCCGTTAAGCATCTGACTTGGGCTCAGGTCATGATCTCGCGGTGTGTGAGTTCTCCCTCTCTCTTTCTGCCTCTCCCCCACTCCTGTGCACACGTGCCCGCATGGGCGCTCTCTCTCTTTCAAAAATAAATAAACATTAAAATTTTTTTAAGAAACTCTCAAATGTTTATCTAAAGTGGTCATATTTTTGTGTTCCCACGGGCAATGTATTGAACATTCCAATTATCCCATATCCTCGCCAATACTTGGTATGTTTATCCTCTTTAATTTTAGAGATTCTAGTGGGTATAAAATAATATCTTGTGGTTTTAATTTGCATTTCCCTGATGTTGAATACTTTTTCATGGGCTGATTGGTCATTTTCTTCTTAAGTGCATGAAGTCTTTTGTTTTCTGAAACTGAGTTTGTCTTTTTATTATTGATTTATAGGAGTTGTTTGTGTTTCTAGATATGCATCCTTTGTGAGAAATTTGTATTGTGAATAGTTTCTCCAAGGGTGTGGCTTGCCTTTTCACCTTCTTAACACTTGAGCTGAAGTTTTAAATTTTTCTGAAGTCCAGGGACACCTTGGTGGCTCAGTTGGTTATGCATCCAACTCTTGATTTTGGCTCAAGATCTCACAGTTACGAGATCAAGCCCTGCATCAGGCTCAGGGCTAGTGTGGAACCTGAATAAGATTCTCCCTCTCCTTTTGCTTCTCCCCTGTGTGTACTCTTTCTCTCTCTCTCAAAAAATAAATGTTTAAAAAAATTTTCTCTGAAGTCCAATTTATCAATCTCTTCTTTCATAGTTTTATATATTTTGTATCCTCCTTAAAAAATCTGTCGTAGTGTCACAAAAATATTCTCCCATTTTCTTTTAGAAGCTTTTATTTTTTTTTTAATTAATTTATTTTTTTTAACGTTTATTTATTTTTGGGACAGAGAGAGACAGAGCATGAACGGGGGAGGGGCAGAGAGAGAGGGAGACACAGAATCAGAAACAGGCTCCAGGCTCTGAGCCGTCAGCCCAGAGCCTGACGAGGGGCTCGAACCCACGGACCGCGAGATCGTGACCTGAGCTGAAGTCGGACGCTTAACCGACTGCGCCACCCAGGCGCCCCTCTGTTAGAAGCTTTTAGGCTTAGCTTTTATGTTTAGGTCTGTGTTATGTTATATTTAAGTTTTTGTTCCTTCTTAATATTTGTGTGTGAAGGGTTGACCTTTCTTTTCTCCATTCTCTAATCCAGTTGTTATACTACCTACCATTTGTTGAAGACTTTCATTTTTCCATTGGATCACCTTGGAACCTTTGTCACCAATCAGTTGTCCCCACTGTGGATCTATTTAAGGATTTTCTATTTTGTTCCATTGATCTATTTTTTCTGTCTTTATGCCAGGACCACGCCATGTTTATTGCTATTGCTTTATAGTAAGTCTTAAGGTTAAATAGTGTGAGTCTTCCAAATGTGTTCTTTTTTGATTGTTTGTTTGAAGGTTATTTTAGTTGTTCTCAGTATTTAAAATTTAAAAAAAAATTTTTTTTAATGTTTATTTATTTTTGAGACAGAGAGACAAAGCGTGACCAGGGGCAGGGCAGAGAGAGAAAGGGAGACAGAATCCGAAGCAGGCTCCAGTTCTGAGTTGTCAGACGTGACCAGCAATGAATTACGAAGGCTTTAACTCATGAACTAGATCATGAAACTAAGGAGATCAAGATGCTTAACTGACTGAGCCACCCAGGTGCCCCACAGTATTTAAAATTTTGATGTCAGTGTTAGAGTCAGCTTATCAATTTCCACACAAAAGCCTGTTGGATTTCAAATTAAGTTGTATTGAATCTATAGGTCACTTTGAGGAGAACTGACATCTGAACAATTGTGAACATCTACAAATCCATAAACATGGTATATTTCTCCATTTACCAATGGCTTTTAATGTTTCTCATCTATACCAGTATTAACATTTCTATATAATTTTCAATAGATCTTGTACATTTTTAAAAATGTATTCCTAAGTATTTTAAACTCTTGATGCTGTTATAAATGGTATTTAGAAGTTTTAATTTGAAATTGTTAGCAGTATATAGAAATGAATTTTTTTGTTTGTTCCTTGACTTTGCATCCTATGACCTTAAAAAACATTCCATTATTACTTCTACTAGAGTATTTTTTTTTTGGGGGGGGGGGAGATATCTTAGGATTTTCTCTGTAAATAATCATGTTGTCTATGAATAAAGGCAGTTTTCTTTTTCTTTCCTAATACTTATGGCTTTTATTTCCGTTTCATGTCTTATTGTGCCTGGAGGCCTCTAGGACAGACCTCCTTGTCTCATAACTAATTTTAGAAAGAAGGAATTTAGTCTTTCCCTACTAAGTATAATGTTAGGTGTATGCAGTTTGTAAATACTTTTCATCACAATTGAGGAAGTTCTTTCAAGTCCTAGTTTTCTGATCGGTTTGTTTTTTTCTTCTTTTTCTTTTAAATCAAGAGTAACTTAAATTTTAGCAAGGGCTTTTTCTTATGGTTTTTCTCTTCTGTTCTTTATTTTCTAGCAGGCAGCTAAAATACTGGTTATCACCTTAAAAGCCTTGTGAAGGCTTTTGAGAGTGGGATTTTTTTTTTTTAACCCTTCCGCCTTAGTTCTTGGACAAATTCCATAGTCCTGGGACATAGTTTTCACTCATAAGGTGTAATCAAGTTGGGGTTTCAGTAGAAAGCCCAAGGTGTTTTAAGTCCCTTTAACTTTATGGGACTTGGGCTTCAGACTCACTGTCCCACAGTGAGAAACAGAAATCTCATCTCCTTTCTTTCAGCCTTCTAGTTCTTGCTTTTTGTGGACCTTTTCGAATCTCCCATGCACATGCACAGATTGGAGGAGTTAATAGATTTGGGGATTCTTGTCTCTGTGGCCTTCTTTTCAGGTGTTCTCTGCTCAGTTTCCATTCATCTGTTTCTGAATCTTGTCATTTTACTCCTCAAGCCGATGAAACCCTAGCTTTCTGTTTGAATTCTGTTGATTTGACCCTTTGCAGCCGGCGGAATAATCTTGGGAGATGGCCCATAAATAATGGATCTTGACCAGTGCAACTCCCTTCTTTCACGTGTCAGATTCCCTCCAATTTCTGTCCTTTTTTGGTTGCTCTCCAGTGTTTTTAACTAATTGTTTTAAGATATATTTTATAGAGGCTTTAATTCTTTTCGGTGGGAGGGTTAGCCAATTAAAAACTACGCCACCATTACCAAAATCTTTGTGAACGTTTTTAAGCATGTGGCTTAGTGGTTTGTCCATTTGATGTTGGCATTTTGCAAATTGGTGACGCCTTTGAAAATTGGTTTTCTCTCCTCTCAGCTGACTGTTCTTATTCGTGTGGGCGAATTGTTTTAATGTTAATGTTTAATTTTTCTGTTGTCTCAGTTGTTGCATCTTATCAGATGTTTTGCTCCAATATGGAAATTAGCAGAGATGTGTAATACTTGGACATGAAAAAGCAGTCCAGATTCGTTTGATCTGCTCACAGACCTTTTTGTTTTGCTTGGTATCTTGTACATAGGGGGTTTGTGAGAAAAATGAGTCCACTGAGAGTGCAAATAAAATAGAATGTGATATCACAGACCACTGTTGCTAGAACATTCTCATAGCACATGGAACATGGCCAAAACCACGGTATAGACAAACCCAGGCATGAGAGAAGTGACAGAGTAGGAAGTGGGTGAGGTTCTCCATGTGTTGAACTATCTTTCTACGCTAAGTTACATGGGAGTAAGGCCATGCACATTAGACCACATCTGGATGTGCTGTAGTCATTATGTGACTTCTTTTTTTAAGAGTTATGCCACCTCTGTAGGACTAAATTATACTAAGGTTCTATCCTCTTTAAATGTACACCGGCAACACTAAAACACTGGCACTGGAATTCTTATGGATGTTCTTATTATATTAATTTATTAGTTTTAATGATAAGAAGAAACAAATGCCAAA